TTTTTCCTTCTGTAATTTTTCATTTGTTTTTTTCTACTTCTGTTCATTTTCTTTTTCATAAAGATGTTGCTTTATTTCCTCTGTGAAAATGTATTTATTTTATAGCTCTATGATAATGCAAATGTTAGACAAAAAGCATTAATGTAAATGTGACTTGTACAGTTAATTTTTTTCATTTGCTATATGATGTTTCAGTTGTACTACGGCTCTACTGTGATGGAGGACGGACACACACACACACACACACACACACACACACACACAGCCAATGCCTGTAAGTTTGAGAAATATTGATGCTCTACCGTCCTCATGCCATAAATACTTTTTTTGTGAAAACGAACTGCCAAACTATTGTAAAGAGTGTGTATAGTTGTATGATGTAAACAAAAAACAAAATGGCTTATACACATTTTATGAAAAAAGTATTTGTTGTAAAATGGAGACATTTACAAAAAAAAGATGTAATTTATTTAAGAATTGTCGTTTTTGTTTTAAGATTTAATATGCTGAACCTTTGAAGTTAAAAAAATAATGTAAACTATAATGTGTAAATATATACATATATACATTCACTGAGGTATTTTTTTAAAACATGGCTTGCTTCAATTTCAGAATCAAAATTTCAAGTGTTACATGCTTTGTACATTGAAGTTCAAAAGGGTTTTACATTTTCCATTAAAATGGATTTATCAAAGGTTTGGTGGTGTGTTTTGATGAGAAGCCTTAGCTGGCATTCCTACTCCGCTGGAATGTGGAGATGCAAACCTGAGAAACTGAGGAATGATGATGAACTAAAATGTTTTACTATGAGTTTACAAATTGCTTCAGTTACTATATTAGATGACAGACAAATTACTTAAGTTAGCAAAGCAGAAACATACTAGCAGACAGATAGCAGTCCTCAAATCTGACAGCATAAGACTCCAGTTTACTGAAATCCACATGCATATTTCCTGTTCAAGCTCATTTTTTGAGCTTTAGGTCACGTCTAAGATAATTCACCACTGTAACATTGTAGACAAGTTAAAAAACAAGAAAAATCATGCCATGAGTTCTTTAAGGCTATCCTTATTTTACCCCACAGGTTATATCTGCATTTGCATCACCTGCGGAGCATGAAAACGTACCTAAATCAAATACACCCTCCCCAGCATTCACTAGTATAGAACCTGACCTACATTCATTCAAACTGCTACTGATACAGTATACAAGCATAGCGCCAGATCGATGACTTTAGTTTCTGGCAGTGAAAAAAAGGCTTGGCTCTGAAAACAAAACCATAACTAAACAAGCAAACAATCTTCTGTATTTTTTTTTGTCTGTCGGTGATTTTCAATGCCAAAGTTTTTCCTTCCGGTTTCACTTGTCTGTCACCATTTTGGCGTGGAGGGGCAAAGCTAAGGAGAGTGTGATTTACATAGATGTGAGGTAATCACCTTTATTTGGCTAGGTATGTTACACACAAGGAATTTGTTTCCGGTACAGAACCGATGGCTCTAACCATCAGAGGGCCCCTCTGATGACACTTCGACATGTGGACTGCAGTGTGATTTGCATACTCTGGTTGAGATCCATGAGAGGAGGACAGCCTTCTCCCGTGTGGCTGTCCATACTGAGGCTTCTGTCTGCACAGTGACTATTTTTACTTTTGTTAATTTAGGTATAATTCGCTGCTAATGTAACCCAGCTGTATGTGTGGTACTGCGCTGTGCGGGGAATTATAATTTTTTACGACAGTTTGTGACAGGTACGTAAATCATACCTGCAGGGGGGTAGGTAACACATGCTCTGAAGGAAATTTTTTTTGGGTAACAGACGAAGTTTGGAGAACCTGTCGTGTAATGTCCGTGCTGCTTGACCGATTTACAACCTGTGTAATAGATGTTTTCTTGTTAGCCTCACGAGGCCTACATATTTTCTGAAGCTGAGTGGAAGGAGAGTCATTGATACCAGGGAGTTCCTGCCCTTCGTGTGCTGTTATTGGAGTGGAAAAGATTCACTTTGGACCCGACTTTGGATTACTGGAGTTTTCTTCAACTACGCTTTCGAAAAGTTTTTTTTTTTTTTGGCCGGCCAAACGAGAGACAACTGCAATACTCATCCTCAGCCTTCAGAGACAATAAAACATTGTTTTGGATTTGTATACCGGCCCGGACCTGAAGTTTATTTCATTGGAGAACAAGACTTTTCAACACCTATCCAGTAAGCCAGTGTTTATCTACTAGCTTGGTAAGCTAGTC